GGGAATTGTTCAGCTATAAAGTAAGGATGGAACTTTGTGTTGTGGCTCTTTTGTTAAGTATGAATTTAATCTTCCTATCACAGTATCACATTTTGAGTGAACTCTGAAGAGCACAGAGGTCATGACACTGTCAAATTTTCAGAGCCAAGATCCCCAAGTTAAAGGATGACATTGTAGGAAGTGATCAGTTGTTTTCTTTTCTTGTTTCAAGAGAATTGTTTGCCTGATCACAGGCTGAGGGAAGAAGTCTGAGCTCATTTTACATTATATTCATTTACAACTAAGTGAGAAGCTCACAGGATTTCCTTAAAACCTAGGAAAATTCGACTCTGTAAGAAATGAATACGAATACAGTTGAGTGATTAGCATCAGAAATGAAGGATAAATAATCCATGTACATATTAAGATAGCATTAGTGTTAACTCATGGTGCATGTCCAAAACCCAGAATCCCTGGGAGGAAATAACCTCTGAGTCCCCAGATGTCTGCAGATGTCAAGTGCAATGACAAAAAGTTCACATATACAGGAGCCCAGAAGTGGACAATCTCTGTGACATCTTTCAAACCATCAGCTCCGCTGAGCCTTCACACCTGGGCAAAGCATACGATGGGAAGGAAATATTCATGTGATGTCATCCTTTTTTATTATTTTTTTCCTTTCATTTACTATAATCTCTGTGTTGCTTTTGCTCACCATCAGAAAAGAAAAGGACTGGGGAAAGGAAGAAATAAAGATAGGAGTTGTTCCTTGCACACTTCTTGAAGATCAGTAGAGAATAAGTCTGTAATTTCACTTCTCACGAATCATGTAGTCATGGATAAAAAGACTCTCGGGCTAGCAGGGCAGATCTGAGACTTGAGGATCCCCATGCTTCCCGATTCAGAATCTCTCAATTCAGAATGTCTCAGATTTCACACAAGTGATTGAGTCCCAGGTGGGAATTGACACCCTGGTCAGGCAGGGCTGGCATCAAAGAGATCACTCTCCCTAAACAAAAACATAGATATTGCCATGAGTGCTGGTGTGTCTGTAATGCCAGCAGAGGTGGAGGATGGGGAAGAAGAACAAGAATGTAGGGTCAGGGACTGGAGAGATGACTCAGCAGTTAAGAACAGTTGCTCTTGCAGAGGAACCGGGTTCGATTTCCAGGACCCACAAGGCAGTTACAGATGGTTGTCTCTATGGCAACTCTAGTTCTAGGAGATCCTGTACCTTCTTTGTCCGCCATGGGCACCAGGCACACATGTGGTACACAGACACACTTCTACACAAATAAAATACAACACAGACATACATCTATCCAGGCAAACCCTCTATACATATAAAATAAATATAATGTTTTTAACTCAAGATCAACCTTGGCAGCATAGGGAGTTGGAGGCCAACCTCAGTTGATGAGACTGGGCCCTGTCAGGGGTATGGTGGGATGGAGAAGAATGAAGAAGGGGGAGGAGGAAGGAGGAAAAGGAGGAAAATTGGGAAGGAGGAGGAGGAAGAGAAAGGAAGGTAAGTAGTAAAACATACCCTTGAGTTGCCACCAGAATAGGTTAAGTTTGTCTTCTGGAGCTTTGTGGGCTTGGGCAATGTATGCAACAAATTGTATATTCCTCCTTTACTCAAGAACATTCTTTCCCTGGAGAACCATAGCTTTGTGATATGCCCATCGATTAGAGAGGGTTTAGCTGATGCTCGCATAGCATTCTCATCTCACCATTCTGATTAGCCTTTTACCATACACTAGCTTTGTTTTTGAAACAATGGTTTCAGGGTGGGTTCCTTCCACCCTAAGCATACCCAGAGACCCCAGGCTTCCTCCCAATGCAAGGACATCTCATTTGACCCAAGGGAACTTTCCTGAAAATATTATTTCCCAGATCTTTAAGAAATATTTTGTTTGTTTGTTTATGTGTACACATGAGTGCAGTGCCTAGAAAAGAGCATCAGATTCCCAGAGCTGGAGTTACAGGTGGTTGTGAGCTGCCTGATGAGAACCAAACAATGGTCCTCTGCAAAAGCAGCGTATGCTCTTAGTTCCTAACCTCCAGCCCCTCTGGAACATTTATTTTTTTTAAGGAAAACACATGGTAGACTTTACCAATCTTTTTCTGGTGCTTAACATTGTCCCTGTTCATTTTATGGTGTCTTGGTTAAGTATGCTATTCTCTATTTGTCATAATGCTAGAAAAATTTTTTACTCCTATAGATCATCACTTTCACTTCCCAAGTTTTAGGTAGCCAAACACAAGCACATTCTATCAACCTACCACTCTGAAAAAAAAAAAACAAAAACAAAAACAAAAACAAAACAAACAAACAAACAAAAAAAACACAGCACAGCATTGAAACACCATTCCTATTCTGGCAACAATAACACTACCTAAACTTTTAAAATAAAACCTAGTTGATATTAAAAATCAGACTGGGGATTTTTCTTAACAACTGGTTGTCTAAGAGATTTTTAAAAAGGTTTTTCTTTCTAAAAATATAGTATGGCTGTGAGCTGTTTTACGGTATGTTTTAAGCTAGTGTTCATCAGTCATACTGAACTCTGCAATAGTGACAGTGTGGCAGTCCTTGAACAGAAAAGCTGGAATTTCTAGCACACTTGTTAACTACAGCCTTGTAGAGTCCTGAGGTGGATCAACCCCCTCTCCCATTGGGGTAACTTTCTCCCACCCACGTACTAATCAGGCCCATCCTTCTCGGTTCCTAAGGACAGAGGCACAGCTGGCTGTAGAACATTAGAGGAACTTTCTTATTTCCAGCTGCACATGTTGGCCAGATTGGCAGGGCTGGATGTCTCCAAGTGACTGCAGGTGTTTATAAACAGCAAAAAGGCAAACAGCATGTCCACAGACTCACCCTCTGGGGAGGCCTGGGAATTGTGGATCCCTTCCAGAGTGTAATGGATTTGGACAGGCTTCATGCCCTGGTGACTTTTCTGTGTAAACTTGCCCTGGAGGAGAACAAGAGATTCCATGGCAAGCCTCTGCAAGGAAGCGAAGCCTATGGCTGTCATCGGGGATGTTTATTTGCCAACAAACCTGTGGTTGGTAGGTTTGATGATCTTTTCCTCCTTTGGTTTCTTCCCCAAATACGCTTTAGACATGATGAAAGAGAGGAAGGAGCCTGAATTCAGGTTTCGGCTCCATGAAACACTGCTCATTGCTTCTTACAGTTCCAACAAACAAAACCTTACCCTGCAGAAGTGCCTTTGATATTTAAGGAATCACCCTTGGCACTGATGAACCATCAAGCCACATTTCCGTGTTCAAGTGTCCATAGTTAAGTGGGCAGGAAAGACCTTCTGTCCACCACCACGGAGTCTCAAGTGTTTGGCCAAAGTTGGCTTAAATTGTGCTTTCCTTGGTATGTAATTCTAAGTCACCATTAATCTCATTTTCCTAAACACCAGGAGTTCCCTCTTTGAAAATCTCCAGCAGTTTTGCCTCTATCTACTGGAGCATCTTGAACCTTCCTAAGGTATCACTGAAGGTCCTCAAAATTCTGTTCCCAAAATATCTTTTCAGTCACATGTCCCTTACATATGATCTCTTCCAATCAAGTTACACAGCTGCCTTCACTGTTTTCACAAAGGGTGACCCCTTTTTGAGCCATCCCCACAGTCCACTTTTACACCAGACCAGAAAAAGGCCTTCATTTCTTCAGAACTCTCATATTGCTTGCATAAGTTAACACGGTCAAACTTTGTTCATCTACCCACACTGTCAATTATCTTTGCATGAACAGATCTCATTTTCTCAGCTACCTGTGAACACATTTCTGGTATGCACTATGACCTATCCCAACTCTATCTCCCCCAGAAATTCCTTTATAACACTGAGGGCTCTAGCTTTTTACTGGACAGTAGATGACAAGCCCTTTTTCTATTAAGCACTTGGATAAGTTGAGTCAAACATTTCAAAGTTAAGAATTCCCTTCTGATTGGCCACTTGAAGATGACTTCATGAACATTCCTGTTCTTATTCTTAGTAAGTTTGGAAAATGCCCTGAATTCTAATGTTTCTAAACATCCAGATAATGCCTAGACAACATGACATGAACTTGGATTACTGGCACAGTCTTCCACAGTTGCATTTGGTGGTAGAGCTGCAGATGCCATTGCTGTTGATGTGGTTTTCCACTTGGGATATAAAGAACTCTCAATCCTTATGTTGACAGCATAGGTTTAAGGGTGATTGCTTTCCAATCACCCCAGGATATTTCCACCTGTTCCTGTGGCCTTCCCATCACATTCCCCTTGCTGCCTCCTAACTTTTTCATTCTTTCCTATTTACTTATTGATTTCCTGGTCATTGCTTTTATGTGGTAAAGTCAAGATCCTGGTGACCAGTGTTTACCTAGCTTTATATGAACAACACAAAGAGCCAATATCCCAGGTTAGTGCTATGGATCTAGTGCAAGTCTCCACAAGATGAACCCTGGCAAGACCAGCTGATAAACTTGAGAAACACTATTTAGAGACCAGAACCATCTCCAAGTGTATACTATTAATGGCTCTAGAAATTGAGTGTTGGTATAAACACCAGGGACCCCTAGAATAAAGGGGTGCATAACTGCTAAGTGACTAGATATAGGTATGTATAACCTTTAGATTAGAGGTCACATAGCATAAGAATAGACCAATACAAAAGAGTAAACTTATTTAACATATTAGGAGATGTGTTGGGACTTTTATTTCTGTAACTCTAACTTTGTGGATGGAGTGTGAACTTGCAGGGTGATAAAGTCATTGTTCCACATGCCAAAGGTTGGTCATGCTGGGACTGTGGGCATCTGGAGAAGGTTAGTTGAACCAGGAGAGTTTAAATTGTCTTCAACCCTGAGCATGTGTGAGTTTATGGGAGATGACACTCCAACTCCTGTCATTTGCTGTTATGAGTGAGCAAATGTGGGGCTCTCGGTCAGTCAGGTCTAATGAAGCAGGGTGGTTATTTCCTCAGGAGGTGATGTGATGTTTCTTGATTTTCTCTTTCAGCAATGAGGTGGTGAGGAGTGACCTGAAGAAGCTTCCAGCCCTTCCTACCCAAGCCCTGAAGGAACACCCCTCTCTGGCCTACTGGTAAGACCCCTGTCCCAGAACCTTCTTGCAGTCAAGTCTCCCACTGAGCCCGACTCCATCAGCTCCCACAGGCCTCCTCTCTCCCCATTGTGTCAAGGAACTTAGATGTTCAGAACTGCTTTCAGAGTCAGCAGTGGTGGTTTGTCCCATAATACCAGAATTTGGGGAAACTGAGGCAGAAGGATTCCAAGTCCAAGGCCAGCATAGGCTACACAGTACATTCAAGGAGAGCTTGGGCTAGAGTAAAACCCTGTCTCAAAAAAAGAGAAAGAAAAAGAAAAGTCCAGAAACCATTATCTGCACTTATTTACATAGCAAATATGTTAGCTCTCTCCCTTAATACTAATATTTTTGTGATTTCACTTTTGAAATGGCACTTCCTTAAGAAGTGTGTCCTGTGCTGATATAGTTTCTTGTTGGAACGCTGTCCGTGAACGGCAGGATGTGGGAGGTCTGTAAGGGTGGGAGAAGCAGGTTGTTTCCTTGGCAACAGAAGAATCGGGTTGTTTTCATTCTTCTTGGTGTTTCCTATATCCCGATTTAGCCCTTTGTAACATTATGCCACAGTTCATTTGCTGAGTCCTAAATTACCCATTTCCACGTGGTTTAGGCATTTGTGGTTGGGCCGGAGTGAAGCAGGGCTCCGAATTCCTGAGGAGTGTGCTGGAACCCTGCTGGGTCCTTATGCACTGACTACCGCCCTGTGACAGGAACAGGACTGTGTCCCTGGTATTCCTTCTGACCCTTCTCAGAAAGCAGTGTAGCTGCTCATAGTGTAAGACATAGTCCTAGTAGTATAGGCCTGCAACCCCAGCTTCTCAGAGAGCTGAGGCAGAAGGATTGCAAACTGAAGGCCCCCCTGAGCTACAGAGTGAACTCAACACTCACAGCTTAGTGAGACCTTGTCTCAAAAGAATGTTTTTAAGGGTTGGAATATAATTTGGTGGTATGATGTTTGCTTAGCATGTGTGGGGCCCTCAGTTCAAGAAAGAGAGGAGAGGGGAGGGAAAGAGAAGGGAAAGGGAGAGGGGAGGGGAGGAGGGGGGTGGAGGAGCAGAGGGGAGAGGAGAGGAGAGGAGGGGAGGGGAGGGGAGGGGAGGATAGGGGAGGAGGGGAGGGGAGGGGAGGGGGAGGATAGGGGGAGGAGAGGAGGGGAGGGGAGGAGAAGAGAGGAGAGGAGAAGAGAGGAGGGGAGGGGAGGAGAGGAGAGGAGAGGAAGGGAGGGGAGGAGAGGAGAGGAGAAGAGAGGAGAGAGGAGAGGAGAGGAGAGGAAGGGAGGGGAGGAGAGGAGAGGAGAGAGGAGAGGAGAGGAGAGGAGAGGAAGGGAGGGGAGGAGAGGGGAGGAGGGGAGGAGAGGAGAGGAGAGGAAGGGAGGGGAGGAGAGGAGAGGAGAAGAGAGGAGAGAGGAGAGGAGAGGAGAGGAGAGGAAGGGAGGGGAGGAGAGGAGAGGAGAGGAGAGGAGAGGAGAAGAGGGGAGAAGAGAGGAGAGGAGAAGAGAGGAGGGGAGGGGAGGGGAGGGGAGGAGAGGAGAGGAGAAGAGGAAAAGCACTGAACAAGTTGATCCCAGTAAGCCCCGACATGTAGCTCCCCAAGCACTTGAAAACACATTCTAAATTTTTTTGAACTAGTATTCCACCCTGACTAGACACTTCCAGCAGTAAATAATCTAAATATTCACTTATTCAGGTAGACTTAAGAGTGCCTTCAGGTTGGGGAGGTCAGGTCATAATGCACAGCTCTTTAGTGAGATGAAACCCATAGGCAGAAATCACTTTCTCAGAGAAGTCCCACCCATGAAGAGCTGGGCTCAAAACTGTGAGCACCTATGGGTAGACTTCCATCCCTCACTGTACCTCAGGCCTGATCTATTTATCATTCTTCCTTTGGAAGTGTATCTATAACTAAAGAGCAGGCTTATGCGAAGGATTCCAAATTCAAAACCTGTCTGGGTGATATTTGCAAGATGAAGGCCAACCTGGGCTATCGAGTGAGACATTGTCTCATTAAAAAAGATGGATGCTAATAGCTCCAGAAGGCAATGGTTCTCACACGCAGGGATGAATTACATGTGAGAACTGTAATGTCAGTAGACAGTCTGGAGTCAGAATTGCCTTTGACCTAATTCATCCCTCAATCGCGTCTTTATTTATTGTCTAACATTGTTAAACCAACGCCAATCGCAGAGCTCCCCCTCCTCCCCCTCTCACTCTGGATCAGTCTAGCATTGTCTCTACCTGATCCCTGTGTTTGTGCTATTAGTAATATAGAGAGCCTTCCTTCTGGCTCCCCTCTCTGCCTTTTATCAGCATCAATATCTTTCTGCATGAACAGCTCACCCACAACCATTTTAACAGTATATCCTTTAGGCATGTGACCAGGCCAGCCCTTTCCTAAGGCCTCACCCAGACCCCTGAGTGCTCAATCAGCTGTCTAGTGCACTGGGAGAGTGGCTTGGTAGGGAAGCCAGGTGCCTTCAGTGTCACACCTGCAATAGCAAGGACCATCCTGGTGCCAAAAGAATCCATGGCCCTTTCACCGCGTCCCTACCTTGTGGCCTTGTGCTCAGCCTATTCACACATATTTGCAAGAAACAAAGAGAGTTCAATTTTCTGTAGCCTGTAAGTTTCTCATTGATATTGTGTCTGGCCCTTAAATGGATCTGAGGTATTAGGGACACAGTCTGCAGAGCTAGGAACACCTAGGTTCCAGAGACAGGTGGGAACAGGATGCAGTGGACTTGGACAGGCTAGATGAGTCCGCAGTTGGCATTGGGTATGTCGCCACATGAAAGGCCCCTGTTGACTTAATGGGAAGAAAGAAGCGGGAAAGTGGAGGCAGGAGGAGGTCACCTCTGTGGCTTACCAGATGGCTTTAGATAGCAGGCAGCCGGACAAGATTGGGGGCGGCAGCTGTCAGGCCCCATGAGACCTTGTAGTCAGGCCAGCAGAACAGCTGCCTGTCAGTGTTTGGGACTTTGTGTTGTTGATGTTTCTTAAGCCTTGCTTATGTTCAGAGAATCGTTATTGACTTTCAGTTCCCACCCCCACCTCAGGGATGCTGTCACCCAGAGCTAGAAAAGAAATGGGCTTGCATCTCCATTGGTTGGCTTGACCACAGATCTAGAAGTTGACCTCATGAAATCACAGTTATGTGGTAGAGAATGTGCCATTATAGGTCATGATTATAAAATAGAGAAGGTTCCACATAAATTCTGGGGTGATGGATTAATAGTGGGCACCCAAGATCAACGAATGAAGTCTTGAGGGAGCAACCCTTGTCTCACACATTCTCCCCATCATGACACCCTTATACAAAACTAAAAGAGTCCCTTTGTTGAAGAAATGACAGGTGAGCCCATGGGAATCAAAGTCAAAGCTCAGAGTATGGAGGATGAAGCTCTTAACGTTGTCCTTAGTAGGTGATATACAAGACCTTTGGCCAACCACTGTCCCCTTTTCTTTCTGTGGGCTGGCTCTGTGAGCCCTGAGGCTGTAATGGGAGCTGACATTGTTCCCACCTTTCTTGGCACCGGTCTCTCCAGGAAGGCTGTGTATTACCCCAGTCACACTCCATTCTGTCAAAGAAAATTTTGGCTAGCCATTGTCATCAAGGAGCCATTTAATCTCCTGTTAATTTTAGAAGTAAAACCTCAAAAGATAAATGGGCTGTAATCTCATTCTGTTAGCTAGTATGTTGTTTTCCCAGGGTGGACTTGGGACTTTTATTAACCAGGCCCAAATTCCAGATTTTTCTCTCGGCCTTGGAAGCTCTGAGTCTTAATTACTCAGAATAGTTTGGCCCACAGCACTGGGTAGGAGCAACACTATCCCACTGCCCCAGATCCTGTGTGGACTGGACCAGAAGGGAGAGCTGAGCAAGTTTAACCATATCATCCTCTGTGACTGGTGCCAGCTGCTCCTTGTTTTCCTATCCCATACCATCTTGGGAAGAATAGCACCCCCACCCTGCCCTGCCAACTGACTTAATCTTATCCAAGTGACTAGCAGTCAGAAGTAAAGATAATGTTAAGTCCTCTGAGGAGAGAACAGGCTTTTCTATCCCTACCATTTATAAGAGACTTCACTTTGACCAGCATTGAGACATGTCATTTCAGGACATGGTTATTTTTCAGCTGCAGCTTCCTCAGAGGGTCTCAGAAGGATGGAGGGTGAAGTCTTAGTGTCCTGGGGGGCAGGATGCTCAGCCTCTAATGCCAGAATCCTTTTCCTTCTGATTCTAGTGAAGACAGAGTCATTGAGTACTACAAGAAACTGAATGGCCAGACGAGGGGTCAAGCAATCGTGAAGTAAGTGGCCCTTCTGAGTACGCACTAAGATTGTGTTTGGGAGCTGGAGAGACAACTCAGCTGGGAAGTCACAGGCAAGCAGATCCCTAGACTCCACTAGCCAGCCAGCCTAGCTGAACCAGTGAGCTCCATGCCACTGCGGCTGAGATTTAAAAAAAATAATGTGGAGAGTAACAGAGGAAGACATCCAACATCACCTCACACATACCTGCAATTATATTTTCAGATGCACATGCACACATAAACACATACAAAGCCTATGTATTAATAGGCCACATATCCAAGGTTGTTGATTTCTCCTTTAAAAGATATATCGGGAGAGGAGTGTTTCTACTAATTTCCAAGTTAATAACCACCCCCAGACCTCCATAGCACACAGCAGAAGGACATATATATATGATATGACACCACTTCTGCCTAACAACCATTGTGCATTGTTGTGTGTGTTGTCTTCACAGCTACATGAGTATCGTGGAGTCTCTCCCAACCTACGGTGTTCACTATTATGCAGTGAAGGTAAGTGAACTAATTTGCTCAAGTCCTGCCCACATTGCCCTGAAAAAGTAAGCAAGCAAACTGAAGATTCTCTTATTTTTTAATCTGAAGATTTTGAGGGGAATAGAGTTGATGGAGGTTGGCTCGGTCAGAAAGACTGCTTGCCAGGGGAAATTGAACAACTGAATTTTATCTCAAGGGTACTAATTCTTAATGGAGTAACTCTCCAATACTCTAATTTTTTTTTCTTCTGTGAAGTAATGTAATAAATCTCTACTTCCTTTCAGTCTCAGAGGAGTCCTGGGAAATCAGGGCTTCAGTGCCTCTCACTAGAAAGGCTCCATTAAATATGAGGAGCCAGAAAGACCAAAAACCTGTGGCAGAATGTTGTGTTTCTCTTGAGGGTATGATGCCATATAATCAGCTTTCCAAGGAGAACTGGGTCCATTGGAAAAATCTAAGGCTGTGTTGTTGAATGTGGCATTATCAAATCCAATGTGACATTAGCTTCAGTGTACATTCTGTTTAGTTTCATCCACACTGTGCCATACTGAGATCTCTTTCTGACATGATGGCTAAAAACGCCCACCTTTCTCAAGCATAAATCACAGTGTTGAACAGGGTGACCTGGCCTCTGGGAACTTCTGTTCCAGATGACAAAGGTGAATCCCCTCCGAAGTCCAGCCGCCTAGGTAATGTGTACGAGGATGTGGCCAGTGACCCCCAAGTACAAGTGTTCATTAAAAGGGGCTCAGAATCCCTTGTTCCTGGGGTTCATCACTCTGACCTCACAGTGTCACTGAGTTTCCTCTGGTTTTATTTAGCAAAATCAGTGCCATGTACAAGCACCTCTTGGAGACAGCAACAAGGGACCAACATAATGATCTTATACTATGTGTCTGTCTGTCTGTTGTCCATCCGAATATCTGTCCGTCTGTCCATCCATCCATCCATCTATTTATCTATCCATCTATTCATCTGCCTAGCATGCACAAGGTCTTGAATGTAATCCTCCATGCTATAAATAAATAAATAAAATAAAAAATAAGCATTTTTTTTAGATGGAATGGGGTAATTCAATGGTAGGGTCAACATTTAACATACTTGAGGCCATGAGCTCAAACCCCAACACAAAAAGAAAAGAAAAAAATTGTAAAGAAACCATATACTCCTGGAGCTTTGAATGATTTTTCTCCCCAAAATGTTTTTCTTTTGTCTTTAACCTTTTGCTTACCTTGAGATAACTCATTCTGGCAAATATTTGCAAACTGCCAAGTTTCCAGGATTCTTGTGATGAAGACATTGATTAACACATGTGAAAATTAGTATAAATCTTGGGGAAAGACTGTTTGCTATTCCTGGCATAAAGTCCTAGCATTTGGGAGCATTTGGGAACCACTCAGAATTATCTTCAAAAGGGCTACAGTTCTCACTTGGGTGATGAGGAGCTTTATAAAATGCATAAACAAGGGGACTCGGGGTTTATAATCCAACCTTAATAACGTTCTGGCTTCAGTTTTGCTAAAAATCCTCATTCAGCTGTCTTCCTGGGTGAGCAGGATATCAAGGTGCTGCCATCTGCTCAGTGTGGTTGGGAAGATTTAACTTCCATTAAAGTTTGGTTAAAGTTTGAGCCCTTGGCTTCAATACCTCTGCCCTTTGAAGGGAAGCAGCCCCTTCCGTGCCCTGGGTTTTCTCTGGATCTGACAGTCAGTGGCAGTTTCTTTGATCAGAAATTCATTCGTGTTCTTCAATGTTTTTCTGTATGGTGAGTGAGAGGCTCAGTATGGCTTTGAGGGGCAGGGCACAAGATGCTTGCTCTTGCTAGTTAACAGGTGAAGATGGAGGGTGAGAAGTTGCTCATTTGGTAAAGTGCTGTGTAAGCATTAGGACCAAAGTTCAGATGCCCAGCACTCAAGTGAAACGTCCAGCAGTAGTGAGATAGAAATGAGGGAGCTCTAGGGCTCTGAGAGCAACCAGTGCTAGCCCCTCAGTGAGCTTTAGAAGGTGGACAGAGAGTGCGGTGCAGGGAGACACCCGGTGCTCTTCACAAGTAAGTCCAGGCAGGTGTATGCACACCTGTACACACAGGAACTGGTATGCATTCTTACACAAAATAAATAAGTAAGAGAGGGATACAAGTATCCCGGCTGTGGTTCGGCTTGGAAACCAAGCCAGTTGCCCAGCTCAGGCTTAGTCCCCAGCTCTGTTCACATAACTGAGCATGCATCCACAATGGACACATCAAAGTGGAGAGGTTCCTCCTACTCCAGAGACACTGCCTTTCCCCTTGTTATCAGCTGAGCCAGGAAGTCCCTTGGTCTGTTTGTCTGCTCCAGCCCCATGTTGACCTATACTCCTTTTCATATCCTAGGACAAGCAGGGAATACCGTGGTGGCTGGGACTAAGCTACAAAGGAATCTTCCAGTATGACTACCATGATAAAGTGAAGCCAAGGAAGGTAAGGGTGCCCTCTTCTGTGGACTTGAGGGCCTTCTTTTGAGAGAGGAATGGGGTAGAGTGCACAGCCTGAGGGCTCACCAATCCCATGCTAATGTATATACGTATGTATGTACGTACATACATACATTCTGTTTGAGTTCCCTGGGTAAATATTTTTCTCCCCAAGTTTGGCCCCATCTTTCAAGAGAAGATGGGCAGATGAGTAGAACTATCATGTATGTTCTTGGGAGGCTACATGTTTTGGCAAAATGAAGGAACATTATCTCCTGAGGCCAATCTGAGTTCTCTATGGTGGTTTTTGGAATAGAGCCATAGGTCAAGAGAGTGTACAGGTTAAGGAAAGATGAAAATATAGAGTTAGAAAAAAATCTTGCCCCAGAAAAAGTAGTCAAGTCACTAGAAATACAATGTGTTGGAATTTTGTTTTCACTTGTACAATGTTTTCCAAACCAGAACAACTGAAAACTTAAATGGAAAAATGCTTTTGGTGTGAGAGTGAATGGTTGGTCCATTATACCCTCCTAGACTTCTGTCCAAGCTGTTGTATCTGTGACTTGGATAGAAATCCACCAAATACATCTGGGTTGACCACACTCTATGTACATCTGGGCTGGTCATTCTCCATAAATATCTTGGCTGGCCACACTCTAGCACATCTGGGCTATCCACACTCCATATACATATGAGCTGACCACACTCTATGCACATCTGGGCTGGCCACATTCTATGTACACCTGAGCTGACCACACTCTGTGTACTCTTGGATTGGCCACACTCCATGCACATACCTGGGCGACTATATTCCAAATATATACCTGGGCTGACAATATTCTGTGCACATACCTGGGCTGACCATACTCTATGTACATACCTGGGCTGACCATACTCTATGCACATACCTGGGCTGACCACTCTATGAATTAAACTGTCCTCTTAATCACTTTCTTCCTTAAATTGGAAGTTGAAAATGGCTCTGTGGTAGGAAGAATTTTCACTCAATTGATCAGTAAATCATTTCATTTCTAATAAAGACCAGGAACAAACGATGGAATTATTCACTGGGAATAATGCAGCAATGTGTGGCAAGCTCCAAAACCTCTGTTTTCCATTTACACATAAGAAGTGGATAGTGCCCCCGGTTCCTGCTTAACACTCTAAGTTTTCTGGGCTGTAGACCTACACCTCCTACACCTCTTCCTGGCTATGTCTTTGTGTTTCCCTTGGTACTTTTTTTCTACCTGGCCTTTTAAATTCCCTCTTCAATTCTTCCTCCTTCCCTTTTACATCACCACTTCTTTCTTGACATCCAGTCGAACTGATAGTTTTTTCTACTTACAAATGACAAACACATTCCCAGCACCTTTCTCAAGGTCTTAGTTGCAATGTGTGCAGCTCAGTCTTGTCCTCCTTGGAGGGGGAAAAGTTAGAGGACAACATAGCTTAGGACATCCACAGTAGTGGGTCTGGATGGACACCCAGAGAACTGTAGACCGTAGGCACTTAGGTATTCAGTTGGAGCTTAAAAGTGTCAAGAATTTCCAAAGCATAAGTGAGCCTAGGCCAGTCTGTAAAAGACATGCCAACAATATTGAAATCTTCTGTCCACTGTGTTTCTGTGTAGGTATTTTTTCTTAGTTTCTCTTATGTATAATTCTAATGAAAGTAACAAGCTAGCACTTAGTGTATGTAACACACAAAAGAGATGCATAACATGGACTCATTAAGTTAAAGTTAATCACTATTAGAACTGAGTTTGGCTCCTAGTGCTCACAGAAAGTTTAAAAAAATAGATCAACAGAGAAGGAAGGACAGCAGTTGGATCCTCAGAAAAGCCACCAGTATTCATGGATGAGAATTTTCATCCAGCTAGCTGCTGCCTATATGGGATCATGTACAGTTTGGGAGTCCTTGGAAAATGAGTTCACAGCTGAATATAAAGTTAGGAACAGTTCTTTCAAACCCCAATCAGGCCAAGTGATGCTTCTGCTTCATTAGCTTTGAGGGGGTCTGTGTGTCTGCCAAGACCTTAATGGGGCTTAAGGGCAAAACTGAAGAGTGAATGAAAGCCATAGTTATGAAATCCAGGCTGCTGCAAGACTTGGGGAGGAGTCCTTTTTCTTAATACCCAACATCAATAGCATCACAAACCCCTTTTTGTTGCATGTAGGAAACAGGAGAGACTCTGAGCAGCTCAGAGCACCAGAACATGCATGTGTTAGGGAGGTGCCCACACCTGGCAGAGAGCTGTCACTGGCAGGCTCACTTACAGAGTATTCCAAATCCCTCTTTGGTACCTCCACACCAAGTCCTTAACATCCACTGTAGGTCAGAAACTCCAGGAAGATGTCGGAATTCACAGCTGCTTTCCCAAGCCCACCTTGTCTCTGACTCTCTGCTATGCATGTAGGAAGTGTTACAAGGATATCCACATGGGTCTGGAGATAGGTACCATCACTCAGGGCCATCTGTGTTTCCTGCACTCAGACTTGGGAAAAGCAGACCAGGTATAGCAGGCATGGCTGGGTTGTCCCTGGGTACTGAGAGCTGGAGTGTTCCCAACTACAGAGGATGAATGAGCTGCACATAAGGGATGTCTTCCAGGTGGTAGCACGCCCTCCTAGCACTGGGGCCAGGCACATCCCCAGCACCTTAAGCCTCCAGGGATGCTCAGGAGATGATCTGTGCCCAGAACTAAGTACCTGGAGGCATCTGTAGCAACAACTGCCTCTCCTGCCCAGACAGCTCTTTCCACCCAGCAGAGGCCCTCACTGACACTCTGATCCACTTACGGTGGCAGCTCTGCCACATGGCACCATCGGACTAAAAGCCAACCTTCAAGTTGAGGCAATAGCAAAGCTGAGGTCTCTGAATTCCTTTGAAGGGCTAAGGGCTGTCCTCTGTTATGCCACCTGGGAATATCCACACAGGTGTTCCCATAGGACTTATCAAAAATGTCTCCCTGAATCCCCAAGAGTCCAGAGCTGATGGCCATCTCATGTCAGAAGAACAGCACTTGGTCCTAGTTCTCTGGATGAGATGCAACTTGCTCTGAATGGCCTTGGAAAGGTGGAGGCAAAATGAGGTTCCTGTGGGCTTGAATGGGAGGAAGAATTATGCTTCCTGCTAACAGTACCCCACAGTATACTACCTGGTTCCCTCCAACAAGCAGATTCTTCCCTTCCTAAGTACATCTCTCAATACAAGCTATGAACTGCATTTTAAACACTTTTAAAAAGCCAGGTGTTATAAAGAGGCCTATAACTCCAGTATGCTGTGCTATAGGCAGTTACAGGCAATCCTAGGCTACATTGTAAGATCTTGTCTCCAAAAAAAGAAACAACCAACAAACAAACAAAAACATGGAAAACATACAAAATTTAAATTTAAGGTAGAGGTAGACATATCTCTGTGAGTTCAAAGCTAGCCTAGTCTACAGAGCAAGTACCAGAATAGCCAGGGCTGTTACACAGAGAAACTTTGTCTTGGAAAAAAATTGAAGCAAAACAAAAACTTAGGTTTTTTTTCTTGCTTTTTTTCCCCTCAGAGCATGTTTTGTCTGAAACAATAAGACATGTGGGGACTTTTTAAAAACTTGGTTTTTGTCTTTTGAATGTGTTCAGAAGAATTCAGAAGTTCTAAGTGAAAAGAACCAGGGGCTGCAATCTGGAGGCAGGAACTGAAGAGGAGGCCATGGGTGAAAGCTGATGATTGGCTTGCTCTCTGCGGCTTACTCAGCCTGCTTCCTTATACAGGATCACCTGCCAGGGATGGCATGGCCCTCCACAAGCTGGGGCCTCCTATACCACTCATTAAGCAAGAAGATGCTCTACTCTTGCCTATGATCAATCTGATGGAGGCATTTTCATTTGAACTTCCATCTTCCCAAATAACCCTAGCTTGTCTAAGGTGACACACACACACAAAACCCTAACCAATACAGATGCCAACACAGAAGACTAGTCCTGCAAATACTCTAAAGTAACAACAACCAAGATTTTTAAATTAATTAAATCTGTCATAGGTGCATATCCCCCACCACAAGGCTTCTTGCTTATATATATGATAGTTTCTGACAGTACATTGTAACATGTTGTACAAGCCTTTATCAACACCCCCCCCCATCCACTCTCAGGAAATAGCTGCTTGCATCCTTCACACAGGGAAGTTGTCCTCTTACCCTCAACCTGCCTCCCAGATTCTCAGCTCCTGTTAATACTCATATACCAAATGCCACTTAGAAACATCCCTTTGGCTAGTGTTGCTCTTTTTTTTTTTTTTTTTTTTTTTTTTTTTTTTTTTTTTTTGCACCAATGGGCAGTAGGCCTGCTAATTTTTATTTATCTTAATGTAGAATCAGAGGAGGGAATATCTCTCTCTCTCTCTCTCTCTCTCACACACACACACACACACACACACACACACACTTCTGTCTTAGTTTAGCAATGAATAAAGATTGGAAAGATCATGGTGGTCAAGGAAGAACAATCATGCCTATCCATAGGTTATTGTCTCTTGTTTCATCCCAGTTGCCAACCACCTTTAACATGTCTGCACACCTGTTGCCAATTATCTCTAACATGTGTGCACACCTGTTGCCAACCACCTCTAACATGTGTGCATACCTGTTGCCAACCATCTTTAACATGTATGCACACCCATTTGCCAACTATCTTTAACCTGTGTGCACATCTGTTGCCAGACACCTTTAACACATATGTATAGAAATACCTCACTACCTAGGCACTTATTTCCTAAATTAGAGTCTCCTTGGCCTTAGAAATTAATGAAATAGTACCCAATGAAGGTCTGAGGCCTTGGAGTCAATCTCAGGTTACCTCTGAGTTTGCATTTGTGGTCAGTCACTGAGACCTAGTATATCAAAGTTGAAAACTTCCTGGCACAGTGATATTGGCTGTCCTACACATTCTGCCAATTATGTTAATACAAGCAAAAGTATTTTGTCTCTTTCCAGAAGTATTTTAATATAGTAAATGTCTT